ATTCATATTTAACATATTTGAACACAGCTCTCTATCAGGGAGCATTTTAGGGGAGGGCCAAGACCCATGATGTCTTTGGTATAGGGAACTTACAGTAAACAGTAAACTCTCTACTAATGGAGACCCACACCTGTTCAGAAACTTATCTTCTTAAAAGTCACTTGGGAGAAGACAGAATGAGTTGATTTACTTGACCAAAGTCACACAGTCAGTATGTGTCAAAAGCAAACCCAAGTTGACTTAACTGCAAAGCCTGCTTCTCTAGCCATAATGTGGTACTTACATTAAATTGTTCAGTGAAGCCGTGACTTAATATAGCTGGGGATATAAACTGCATTTCAGAATGGTGCCAACATACTGGTATAAAGTAGTATTCTGGACACCAACATTCGTTTTAACTATAATTAAACAAATCTACTCTTTCCTGGACAGCACCATTTTAAGGCTGAGCTATAAAATCCTTACACCTAGCCAAATAAACACTAAGTAATATATTTAGAAAAATCACACTAATCCTTCCCTATTAAAAATATTTGTAAGTCTATTTTGGCATTTGTGATTCTAGAGGAAAAAATATATAATATTAAATGATAAATTAATGATCAATATTAAATGATAAAAATTGAACTAAAATTATCCATTTAAATTGATTCTAAATATATATACATACACACACACAATAATCTTGAGAAAGTAGCCTTTTCTATTGTCACAAACAATCTGCAGTTGTTTGGACAGAAGTAGCAAAGCCCAGATAGAAAAAATTTAAACCATAAAACTATGTTTAGTTTCTGTGATAGTACAATCTCATCTTCTATACAGAATACAGAAATGCAACATTTTATCTTCAAGTTATAATTCATATATTTGAAATTAAAAGAAAAACAATTTTGATGCAAAAAAATTGAAAAATAGTCTAGCAAAACAAAGTTTCTAAGCTTCTACCAATGGAAATTATCCTAGCATATGCTTACATTCTGATTAAACTTTTAAGAAATTTGCATAGGTTCAATATGACTCATGCTAGGGACTTGTATAACCACTAAACTCTAAACCTTTAAAAAATTTTTAACAACAACAACAAGAAGTTGCCAGACACCCACTGCATAGAGAGGCTATAAAACGTCTCCAAAGGAACTTTGCTGAACTAAAATTGACAATTTGTCTTTGAACTCTAAGTTTTAAACAAGGCAGTTTTACTAGATTTTCTTGCCTCGAGGAAAACAGCAAAACTGACTCAAGGAACAAAGGTACAAATTTCATCTCAACTCAATCCTACTGAAAACAATTTAATTTAAGCAATTACGAAGAAATGAGAAAATCGCCACACAAAGTACTGTTTCATCATTTGGAAACTCCTTTTCAAGTCAATTAATAGTGAAATAACTTCCTCATATATTTAAAAGCTAAAAAGAAAACTCTCTTTATACTAATTCAGTTTTACTATATGAAGTTTTAGAAGAGGGAAGCAGAAAGTTATGCTGGGCACTAATTTCAGTTAAAGTGATCTATAATCAACATATAAAACAACACAAGTATGAAACTTTTGTGTAAAATTTTGTGTAAATTGCATGAAATTATTATAAGCAAAGGTAAAAACTTTTCAGAAACAAATATATGCTTATTCTTTCATTTATATTCAAATTCTCCAGTTTCCCAGACTACTACAATAAACATTACAAAAACCCCAAATTTATCCTAGTTCAATATCAAATAAAAAGTTTGGTCTTTTTTAAATCAAGAAATATAACTTTATGAAATACTAAGATAAATTTCATACTTTATAAATTTAACTATACGATTCTTAGACAATACTGAAAAAGACTCAACCATTTTTTGTACGTTATATGATTATATATAATGAAAATAGGCAAACTATACAACTAAGCAAATGCTAATACTGCATTTTGGTAGTTTTGTTTCAATGTTAGCCTGAATTAAAGCATTGATCACGCTTCCGAGAGATATACTAACAATGTAATAACAGTATCTGCTCTGGGCTGAGAATAATGATAACTACATAAAGGGAGAGAAGAAGGGGAGAAGACTATTTTGTATGAGGTACTTAGGAAATTACATTCTCTGGAAATAAGAACTCTAGGCTACTAAGGTGATAAACGATCCTGCTAGAAGATGACTTGGAGAAATTTAAGTAGAAACCATTTAAAAGAGGAGAAATTAAACTTTTTAAGCAACTTAAAGAGGATGTCCTAATATGGAATATAGGTACAAAAATGCTGTCAAATAAAGACAATGCCATCCACATCCCCTGCATTTCTTCACTACTTACTACCACTAATATGATTTGGGTAGTCTAAAAAGATGATTTATTCAGTTTTTTCCACCCAAATACTCTTAAGAATTCATATAACAAAAATGAGAAATCTATCTTCTTCCTGAGTCTTTTTTCTTGGCATAAGTTGTCAAGATTCTAAAGGTTTCTACCAGGATAAGTAGAAAGGGAAAAAAGAGCCCTCTGTCTCCATCCCATATGGTGCATGTCCTAGCATCAGAAACAAAACTCTGAAGACCAAGAACTGCAAAATCCTGAGCCATGACTTTTTCTAGTTTTTACGCACCAACTAGAGAAAAGTTGTAAAATAGCTACTTTTTACTTCCATCCGTAAATTTCTATAGCATCAATCTTTGTAGTATCTAGTGCCTTTAAGTAAGCTAAAAGCAACTTCTAATACAAAGTTTCTTCTCTAGACCTCAAGGGTATTTTTCTCTTATTCAAGACTTAAGAGATAAGATTTATAAAATCGCAGCTATATTAACCAATAGTATAAAAAGCAAACGGTTGAAAGGATGTGATTATTCTTGAAAGTTAATCCTAACCACTTGGTGTGCTCTTGTCAGTGAAAAGAACCGCAGCCTTCATATATTAATCAGTGGCACTCCCAAGGATGTTCTGCAGAAATTCTACCCAGAAGCGATGAATATGTATCAAGGTTGCCAGATATGAGTCTTGGACAAAACGTATGGTCTTCTGTAAAGTCGAAGTAAAAAAGGTGCTTATGGGCAGAGATGGCAGATGTATCCAAGACAAAGTAGGAAATTCTTTCTACTCTATACTATCTTACTGTAGGTTCATAGACTTAGAATTAGAAGGAACCTTAGAAATAGCATCTGAGTCTCTCATTTTACAGATGAAGAAACTGAAGCTCAGAGAGGGTAAGTGACTTCCCCAAAGTCAGACGGCTAGCATCAGAGGCAAGATTTGAATCCAGATTTTCCTAACTCTAAGTCTAATACTCTATCCTCTATACCATGCTGCCTCTTAATCAAAGATTTCTAGCACCATGTAACTGTCTCAAAAGCCTTGCCCCCACCTATTAACATTACCTTAATGGGGCTGAGTTTGAGCCAGTTAGACTTCGTTCCAGAGATTTCAGACAGACAATAAGACTTCTGGGGCACTGCTGCTCCTATATTAGATAAGAAGGAAAAGTATGGCTGGGTGTTGTTTGCTAACTAATTGCCTCCACCTTAGCAGAAGACATAAAAGCATAGGACATGCTATCAAGTTTTTGTTGCAACTATACTTGCTTCCAAGTTTCTAATTTTAGATTTTGTTTAAATTAACTTAGTGATTGGACTTTTGTTTTCTCTCTCTCCATCTTTTGTATGAAGATTCTTTTCTGTTCAGTAAGTTTCCAAGAAACTGGTTTTGCAAGGCACACATTTAAACATGACAGACAACATGTAGCTTAGAGCATGACTCAAGCAAAAGAAAAACAATCTGATCTTCCTTAATGTTGATGTTGCAGATTCGCAGAAGAGAAAATTATTATTTGTCTTATGATGTGTATGTATATATATATACACATATATATGCACACACCCCCATATACCACTGTCATTGTTGTTTGCATTTAAATCATTTTGAGTTGTTAATAAGTCAAAAGGCAAGCCCACACTATATAATTTCTGTTAACTATTTGAAGGACAGAAAGATGTAACTAAATCCTTCCACCAAGCAATTCATAACCTGATTGTTTTTCTTAATAAACAAAATTTTAAAAAATAATCAAGCACTAGAATTCTAGAAAATACAAAATTATTCATTTAAAAAAGAGAAATCTTGAGGAATTAAAAGAATACGTCCTAATACTACAAAAGACTCACAGGAAGCTAACATCCAATATCCAGTACTGTTCTACCAGGATTCACACAGAAACATCAAAGACTATGAATTTATTTTTAAAATTCTAAAATTACAGAGCAGTTTTACAACTCACAAGCTTAGCAAAAGTGACATTCTTGACTTAAACATAAATAATAAGAAACATATGTTAGATCTTAAGTGAAATTTTCAGTTTCATCGTTTCCAAATTTTTAAGAAACTGTCACGCCTCAAAATTTCCTAAAGCAGAGGTGCCCAGATAGACTCTAAAACCTGAAGTAGCCTGGAAAACCCTGTTCCTCCAAAATGGAGGCCGATTTCACATCAAAGGTATGTACCTCACCAAACAGCAATGTGAATCCTCAGAGCCTCTGGAAATTCAATTCACTTCATAGCAGCATCAAACAAGTTTTCTTCATCCAGAGTCTAAAGCAGTCACACTATGCAGTTCCAAAGTTTCTCTGCTTTCTGATTTTTTTTCTAGCACATTTCACAGTACAGTCTCAAAGATTTTAATGAAAATTAGCCATCTATTCTGTAAGCATTTTCTATCATTCTTGCATTCTGCCCAAGCCAGTTGTTTGGATTCTTAAAGAAAAAGCTCCAAGAAAACATTTCATCCTAAAAAATCTACTAAAATATGTCACTATACAAACAGTGCTTAACGAGCTGCTTACCATAAACTTCATTAAAAGAAAAAAGCATACCAGTGAGAAAAAAGGTAGTCTATGGCTCTATAAGAGTACCTAACAACTGCACGAAAAATATAACAAATTGCCCCATTCTTAAATTTTAAAAGAAAATAAACAGTGGTATGCCTATAAAGGGGCATTAAAAAATGTACTTTCATTAGGAGACTAGAACATGTTCATACCTTCAGTAAATTGATTCTCTTGTGAAATTGTACTTCCTAGTTGCTGAGGACCAATAGAACTCTGTCCTTCCAAAAGCTGTCTCTTCTCAAAACTGAACTCTGGAAGTCTTGGAGCCTGAGGTCTAGTTTTTCTTGCAGGATTCAGGAAGAAACAATATGCACATCGAAATGCTACAAAGAATTGGAAATTTTACCTTCTTGGGTTTGTGGTTTAAGAAACGCATAATTCATAAGAATGAGTTTGCAAAAACTTCAAAACCTGAAGTTCTAAACTTCAAAATTACTTATTCCTTCTAAGATTAATAAGTAAGATTTTGATACTAAGATAAAGATTTTAATCAAAGCATTTTAACCTAAGCAAGACATTAAATTACAATACCGAATATGAAATAAAGACATAAAACAACATTTGTAATAGTGTAATCAGTACCATCCAGCAAATAAATCTAGAACTGTGACCATAGAAAGCAGATAATATTAATGGCTTGAATGACTGGTTATTTTGTGTATATTCTGAGGAAGGAGTTAACTCACTCCTCCAAAATAAGTCATACTCAAGAGATGATTATTCAACAGCAGTACATATCACTAAACTGTCTTCTCTGCCTTTTCTCTGATGTCCAAATCTTTGGTATCTCAGCTTCTTCAATAAGGAAATAGAAAGGTCAACTTGCCTAGTACATACATTCACAGATAAAATAAGCCACCATAATGAGGTAGTATCATATTAAGTTTTCATAGAGCTAAAAGTAAAAAGCAATTAATTCTTAACTACCCAAAGCAGTTCTTACCAATGTATTCAAACTCTTCCTTCAAAGCCATGCCATTATGAGAAAAACACTGCTGACATATAAGAGCATACCTAAACCAATAAGAAAAAAAAGTTTATTAATTATAAATTTACACAAATATAAACTATTCAGAGTTAACTATTTCCTAGCATCTTAACAAATATCTACTTTAATGTGTTAAATGTCTAATAACGAGAAATCAGATATAATCTCCATAAACATTCCACAAGATAAAACTTCACTCGTTTTAAGACATTTGATAGCAAACAAGAAAAATTTAGCAACCAGATAACTTACAACAGCAACAACTAACAATGACATAGCCCTTCAAAGTTTGTAAAGTACGTTTTCAAACAGATAGATTACTTCATTGAAGGCTCACAACAACCCTATAAGGTAAGTGCCACAAGTATTATTGGCCCCATTTTGCAGATTAGTTCAATGACCATATGGAAGGCATGTAACCCCTCTGAACTTCAGAAAGGTTACATGCCTTCCATATGGTCACTGAGCTAATAATTCTCAGACACAAGATGTGAACTCAGTTATGTTCTGACTTCAAGTCCAGTACCATGTCCACTATGCTAAATAGTCTCTTTTCTTGATCTTTATTTGAAATTTCAAAGTTAGCACACAGAGAACATATTTCATAAAGTTTAAAAACTAGCTGAAGGCTACAAAGAGGTGAAAATAAGGGAAAATTCAGTCACCTGGGGGTGGAGGGAATGCATTTGTCAACAGAATATATAAATTAAGTTATAGGAACCTTGAAAAGTCCTCTCTTTGGTCCATAAAGAATGGGAAAGGACCCCAGAGACTAGATAGCCCAACACATATACATGAAACCTAGAATACAGATAAGAGAATTTGCAGATTCACAAAATCAAAAGTAAAGGGGTGACCAATTAATCCAACTGCCAAACTCAAAGAAACAAGAGGCCCAAACATATTAAATAATTTGCCTGAGGACAGAGAATAAATGTACAATCCAGAACTTGAACCCAGGTCTTCTGACTCCCCATTCTCCCCAGCCCCCAATTATACCATGCTGGCTCTTTCCACAAAATGACACTACCTTAATTATTCCAAACAAATCAACAACTCATTTTAAAGAACTTCAAGTACAGAGAAAGTCACCTCTGACAGTTATTTCCTTTCAAGTTCATTTAAATTTATTCATTACTATTGTAATTACTGATGTTCCATCCTCAACGTGCCAGGAACATCCACTCCAGCCATCACTGTACAAACTCTTATTATGTTTGTAGACCATTAGCTTAGATGTTCAGATACTTCACAGGTCATTTCTGGAAGTCAATGTGATGGAGTGGGGATAGTTCTCAGCTTGGAATCAGAAGACTTGGGTCTGAATCCCCCTTCTGACTCTTCCCATCTGTGTGATCTTGGCCAAATCCCTGAAAGCCCCTGAGCCTTGGTATCCTCCTCTGTAAAGTCACTGTGGCACTGTATCTGCTTCACTAGGCTGTTTCAGGGAGAGTCCTTTGAAAAGCTCAAAGCACTACCCAAGTATAAGGTTATTTGGGTAGTCACACCTTAGCTCTTTCTCCTCTAAGATAATAACTTTAAGCTTTTTTATGCTTCTTATTTCTAGATCTTAATTCAGTACTTTAGTAAGAATTTTTTAAGAACCTTCTCAAAGTTTTCCATGTCTCTGAAGCAGCTGGAGCTCAAAATGACAAAAAGTAATTGAATAAAAATTTAATTAATGACAATTATTGCCAGTCTTTACTTATTTCTATTTACGCACTGTACATGGAGAAGCAGCATGGTATCAGACAAAGAGAAATTAACTAGGTTTTATTCTCAGTTCTGCTACTAACTTACTATGTGCCCTCAGATATCTCTTTTACCTCTATAGGCCTCAGATTCTTCACCTATGTAAAGATGGGCTTGCATGAGATGACCTGGGGAGCAGGGGTGGGGGAGTTGGAGGGGAGAGGGAGTGGTTCTTTCCTGGACTAGTCTCCTATCACGTGTGCTTCGTGTGGCATGCTGGTCAACCTTGTCATATGAACACAACTGCTCCATCTTGTATTCACATGACAGGCTACATGGTGGGGGCCGAGTTACTTCACTGTTCTAAGCCTCAGTTTCCTTATCTATAAAAGGGAAGTAAAACTCATATGACCCACCTCTTAGGTTTGCTGGGTAAAGAACCAGTTTGTAAACCACATAGCACTATATAAATATGAGATAAGAGTACCCTTAAGGATAATAATTTCTTTTTCCTCCCAGAACATGGTACCATGGACATGACCTACCCAATCTCACAATAGCAGCCAGCATTTTTAGAGAGCTTTACATTTGCACACTGCTTTCCATGCATTATTTCACCTGAGCTTCACTACAACACTTGGAAATAGGTCCTACTCCTATCCCTATTTTACAGAGAAGGAGACAGATGTTAAACGTTTAAGTGACTTACCCAAAGTCACAAAGCTATTCAATGTCTGAGAAAGGATTCATGCACTCTGATAACTCTGATTTATCAAATATATTTGATTTAAATTCTGATTCTATAATTCAAATATTAGGGCCACCTAAATGATTAAAACATATACTTCATTGTCCAAAAATATCAATAGCTCAGGACTGGCTCTTGTGAAGCACCATTTGTGTATGTCCTAAAAGACTGCCATGGTGTTTTGCTAGATTTAAATGTTTTAATAAAAGATTATTCCGTTTCTCTAACTTACCATAAAATCAAAGTGAAAGCAATCAATATAATCTTCAATTACAGTTGATTTTTCACAAAACTGATTTAAAATGTTTTGCTATTCAAATTCAAAGGGAAAAGCAATTGCCCAGGCTTGTAAAATACAGTACAGTAAATAGGAGTGACAGAATTCTAGAATTGGCATCCAGTAAAAACAAGGCTGACCATGATCTTTAAAACCCTTATTCATTTGTAGTCCTAGTAAATATTACCTGTTCTGTGGACCATCACCAACTAGATACTCAACAATTCTATCCAGAGCACCTCTTTCTCGAGGGAGAATGGGTCTTGCTAAAGGTGGACCAGGAGGATGAAGACCTACCAAAGAATTAAGTGAAATTATCAAACCAAGTACAGCAGCTAAGTTATAATGCTTGTTTGAACTGTTAAGATTTTTCATACCCTCTAATAAGTCAATTTTTTAAAAGTTTCCCTTAATTTAAATTTGTAATTAAGTAAAAGGAGAGTTTAAAATGCCACTGATATTCATTTAAAAGTCAGCTGCAGAGGGTAAACTATGAAGGTGCAAAGTGACCTGGACTATCTGTTAAAATCACACTAGTGTGCAGTTTTACTTAACTGTTTTGGGGCAAATGTTTTGTGGGAGAGTTATTTGGGTATCTTGGGAAACCCTATGTAAAACAAAAACATACCAATAAAAATTAAAGGGTAATTCTCATTTTTCTAAATTGTTTTTTATGAACATTTTTAAAAATGTAAAGATGAAACTCTGTTCTTAAAAATCCTACCATAATGATTATCATTAAAACTACTACAAAAGCAAAATTTCCTACAAATAAAACATATATCCAATACCATCACCAAAAATGAATAATGATGAATGACATTACCCTAGGTCCCACATAAACTAGTCAGACACAGTCCTTGTCCTTTAAGAACTCACCAGTTAAAACAAAACCATGCTAAATTAAAAAAAAAAAAAAAAGTACTGATAGAGGAAGTTCCAAAGAGCTACATATTGCTAATTACCAAATAAATGCTGTATGCTAATGCTTTATAAAAGTATTTTAAAATTAATATGTTCTTATAATAGAGAATGAAAATTAAAATAAATATAAATCCACAACTAGGAAGGGGAAAGAAACAGTCTCCAGTATCAGGTTCTCAGAAAAACTCATGAAAATAGGTTTTCAAGAGTGAGGGATTAAAGGTAGTAAAAAGATAGAAGGTGAATGATCATCTGTTAAAGGTAAGGTTTCCCACTGTGAGTCAGACAGAATGAAAAGGCACCTAAAGTCAAAAGTACTTTATATGAAGTTTAGATACTGGAACAATTGTAACTTCATAAACCAAGTGATTACCAAAAAAGTATATTCTTTTACTAAAGTTAGTAAACTCCTTCAATCATTATTATTAAATCTAAAAGCAAAATACTCCTCATCTAAGAGAAGATTATTGAAACTATTGGTGAGAGACTTGAGTTGAACAGGATACATACCAAACAAGCTGTTGAGGAAAAAACTCAAGATTACTGAAATACTTTCAAGCGTGTTACTTTTACGTGCAAATTGTTAAAGATCTCACAAAGAAATCAAGACACCCTTCAATAACTTGCATACTAATAACTCTCAAACCAGGCATCTTCATACTCATGCTGTTATGAACAACAGTGATTAATATAAACATCAAAAGTAATCATTGTAGGAAGACTGGTCATTTTTGCAAAGCTTGGCAAACTCTCAACTACCTGCTGGTTATTAATTTTCAAACATATGGGAGCTCTGTGGTAATACATGTTAAATTAATTCTCTTCTACCAAACACATTTAATGAAAAAAATGAATTATTAATCTTTTCTACTTTATTAGAAATCATTAAGTCAAATCCTTAAAAATTCATATTTTTTAAAGCAATGCACAAATTTAGAAGCAAACATAGACTCTTTTGCAAAAACAACTTTTGACAACTTTGATGGTGATGTATTTATATACACATGAAACTTAAGCCATCATTCCTAAAACCATATCTTCATTATCATATAAACTTTTAAAATTAGCCTCTTATTCATGTACCTGAATCCATGATCTAATTGTTTTATCACAACTACTTCAAAGGTTAGAAACAAAAATCTGATATTATTTTGGCAAAAAAAACCTACATGTAAGTGTGTCTGAAGAGAGTTCATGCTGAATTAGAAGTTCTCCCACAAAACAATTTGAATACTAAATTTTACATTATGATAGTTTGAAGCAATTAATTTGATATATCAAAAATAATTTTTCACTGGACTTCAGGTTTAAAATATACTCTTCATGATGAGCTCCCTATATGCCAGGTATAAACATATTTTAGAGAATTATCTTTAAAAATACAGTTCATACAATAGACCTCAAGACTTCTAGTTGGGTGACTTTGTAATCCTCTTTTCAAACTTATCCCATAACCAGTATTTTTCCAGTTTTCCAAAATATGAATCTACTTTTTCGAGATAAAAAAGAAAACATTATTGCCACAAAAGCCATAGGTCAAGACACTCATCACGTATTATTCACCATAAGTATGCTGACTATTTAGTCAGAACTATTAGTTGGCTTCGGGGACACTGAGAAAGCAACTAAATTAGTTGTAAATGGCTTTGGAGAACTTTGATTAACCAAACACAAATTTAGTCAGAATAAACAATCCTAAAATGAAACTGTGACTGTTGTCAAATTCTATAATCTAACATTAAAATCTAATGTAAACCAATGGATTCCCACATTCAACTCACTATCCAATAGCATATTTCAAATACAACATACTTTGGAGTTTGGAGTCTCTAAGAGAATTATCACCTAAATACCATCAAATTTAATAAAGAACATACAAATGAATTCAATAATTGTAAAAATATCATTAATTGATAGAAGCTATTACTAAAAATTTGGAAAAACTTAAGTCTCCACTGGGCAGGTAGGTGGCACAGTAGATAGTAGTCAAGAGGACCCAAGTTCAAATCTAGCTTCAGACACACGTACAAGCTGTGTGACCCTGGGCAAGTCACTTAATCCTGTTTGCCTCAGTTTCCTCCTCTGTAAAATGAGCTGGAGAAGGAAATGGCAGACAACTCCATTAACTTTGCCAAGAAAACCCTGATGGGGTCACCAACTGACAAAAAAAATTTTTTTTCAATATCCTGAAAAATAACTTCCAATATTACAAAAAATAAAATCAGGTAATGGTTGAAGACAGAGTACTATGCACAATGTATGAGTATCCTTCCTGAAATTAAATCTTAGGTAAATTGTCAAAATTCATGTTAAAAAAATATATTCAGGGTATAGGCAAAAAAAAAAAACAACCACCTGAATTTATTCTGAAAGTGCTGCTTCCACGTCTGATTTATATAAATCTGGAGCTTTCCTAAACTTGGAACATAAAAAGGTACATGATACTGTTGACTACAGAATACTGCAAAGTTTTATTGCCATTTAAACAAAGAAGCCATAACAGTTAAATGAGCTCAGGCAATAGGTTTCAGTATCACAAGGTGCCAGCTGTAAAGAGTTATGGCTAATTGAATATGGAACTCCCGCTTAATCAGATAACTGCTCTGCTATTTCCAAATGAAATGCCATTTCCATACTGTCTGAAAATGGCCTGTTTTATTGGTAACCAGAGAAAACAACATAAACTGTAAATAACATTAAGTGCTCTGTTTACCCATTCCAGGCACTGAAGTAGCAGGGGATCCAAGACGCCTTGGTAACACATTTGACTGCAAGGCTGGAGCACCGGCTCTTTCTGGTGGTCCACCAGGAGCTGAAGTATCCTTCTGTGGACCGGGAGATCCTGGAACTTGTAGAGGTGATCCTTGGTTCGGACTTGCTGGTGTTGATGGAGAAAGGTTTCTTTGAGCTGTAGTCCGCTGACGGATTTCTGACAGGAACAGGTATATGCTCAATTTAATGACCAATACCCTATTACAAGACACTAATTAACCAATATCACAAACTCTTACCAATCAGTGATTTAAATTATACAGTATAAGTATTTAGACATTATGAGGTCAGACAGAAAGCAACAGGAATCCATGCAAAACTGCAGAAAAATTATCAAAAGGCAAGGAAGATATCCTCATTTTAATGCTGGAATACAATTACTCATTATTTTCTCGCCACACTTATAAAACGATCACATATTGATAGCTGACTCTTTTTTTAAAATAAAAATAAGAAAACGATTAGATCAATTACATATCATGTTATTCAAGTCATAAGCTTACTATTAAAAAAATCCCTTATGGGAGCACCTGGCATATAGTGGGCATTAAATAAAAGCTTCTTGATTGATGTGTAAGTCTTACTAATTTGTGATAATGGTGGGGGAAAAGTTAGCTTGAATTAGTAAAAAAAAGAAAAGCAAACCCAAATTTTAGGGTTATTTTTTCTAAGAAAATTTCATTTTAAAGTGGGTTAAAAAAGATACACTCAATATCCTCCCTGCTTCCCTACTTACTCCACCCCCATTTTTTAGGAATGACAACAATCTATAATTAGCATATTGCTTAAATGCAATAGAAAAGAGCCAAGCATCTTTAAGGGTATTTAACTTAAAGCCAAAAGCTGTCTGTTATTTTTCAATAAGCTTTACACTATTAATTTGCTTACTCAAGATTCTCAGCACTTAGTACAATGCCTGGCAAGCAGTAAGTGCTTAATAAATGTTTACTGACTGACTAAAAAAGTACATTTAATGAGCTTAACAAAAATTATTCTTTTCTATTCATTATAGCATTTAGAAAATACCATATTACATAAGTCTGTTCTTTCCTCTCCTATTTTCTATTTGTACTCATCTTATTCTGTTAATGGTCTGCTCTCCAGTCAAGTATCCCTTGAATTTGTCTAATCTCACATACATGTCAAATCATCATAAATTTAAAATGAGTACAATTCAAATTACTGTAATTTTATTTAAATGGTCAAAATCAGTAGAAACATACTACTTCTTATATATAGAACTATCACCTTGAAATATGAATAGTTATGCCAAAAGAAATACTAAGATAAAAAGACAATATTTTTTAGACCTCTCATTACAGAGAAAAAAGTAACATTTTCTTGGTGCCTTCTTTACTTTCCAATTACAACAATAAATTACAGCTCTAGTCATAGCTCAACATAACAATAAAAAAAAAACTTAACTTGTTTGAAGAACTTCCAATTAAGGTACCTATTTATTGGGGAAGGCTGGGGGGAAGAGAAGATAGGGGTCTTAACCCACTAGAAATTTCCAGTTAGAAAGTTAAAATACAAAAGCTGAAATGACAAGAACATTTTGGATGATCAGATAAAATTTAAGGATTAAATAGAGACTGAGGAGAGGAGAATGACAATGAAAAACCCTACTTTCATAGTCTATTTGAACAAGTGAAATGAACCATTTTTACTCTTTGAAACTTCCCATGCTTATCTGAAGTAAAGAATTTCAGAATCCACCTGGATTAATTATCTTGAACATGTCCTGCAAACAGCTAGTCATTTAATGTTTCCTATCCACAAGGAAATCATTGTTACTCAGTTAGGAAGCACATTAAATGTTCTGGAAACTAAGGCTTCTTAGAAAGGCTTCCAAAATCAATACGGACACACAAGGATTTGGAAATTTAAACTGTTACTAAAAGAATGCATCAAAAACTCCAAATCTATTTTTGCCCCAATTTTTTGCCAAAGTATAGTTCAGAGACTTGTATTTTTACCTCAGATAATTGAGAACACTTCTCAAACTGTGATAAGAAACTTTAAGTAGACTGTTATCTTTTCATCTCTTCAGCAAAGACTATTCAGATGTCTTCCTTTAAATGTATATCACAGTACCTGAGACTAACCACATCACTCTTAACATCACTCACACTTCACTAAAAGGTGAAGACTATAACTGTTAGCCTTTACTGAACAAAAGACATGATGTCTGGCATTCTATAAAACAGTGAAGTCACATACTTTGTCTGATGATTCTAAAATCTGAACTGGACAAATACACAAAAGAAAAAGTAATGGGGGGGAAGGTAGCTACAGTTTGAGTACATCGTTTGAGTATTTCCAAATGAAGGGCTGGTAGAAGTGAAAAATAACAATAGCTACAATATTTTCAAGTATACCACAATGTATATTGGTATTACCCAAACTCCCAGTATTTTCAACTTAATAATTTCTGAATGTGAAATCTTTTGTATCTGACCCATCATTTTTTTCATTATAGCTTGAGAAATTATACATTATGTAATCTTAAAAAAACCTAGTACTCAACAAAAGTCATATTTCAATCTGTATTTAAAATATTTTCACAAAAATTAATGCTCTTTACTTTCAGGGTAGAGAAATATGACAAATGTTTTACCATAGAGTCCATTCTAGGCTGAGAACTAATTTAATAGTTCCATTAATTATCTGGAGATATAACAAAAATATGCTAATTAGATTGAAAAGGAGTCTGATTTGGGTTGGTTTTGAATTTAAATTGAAGTAGTCTGACTCAAACATGAGTCAAATAGAGAAAACTGCACTCAGGGGAAAAGAAAAATAAAGTGGCAATGAATGTTTTATGCTAAATGTCTGGGGAGATCTAGAAATAATATGCTAAGAAAGTTTATGGGGTTTTTTTTTAAATAAGCCTAATACAGATATGAATACTGATTTTTAAGCAACATGTTTCTGAAAAGTTGTGAATTTTTACAACTTTGTACATACACAAGTGTTGGACAAGCTTCCTATTATATTAGAGAAATCCTACAGCAATCCTTCTGTAATTTAACAAACCAGGTTTTATAAGTACGGGTTTTTCATATCTTGTTTCTATTTTTCTTTTTTAAATCAAGGTACATTAAAAAAAAAAAAAACAGGAGGATTATCAGGTAATCCCCAGTAAACCATTTACTGCTATTCAAGCACTTTACTGAACACTGTTCTCAGCTCGGGCTTCACATGAAAGGGTTATAGTAACTGGAATTATTTTGTTCAAAGAAAAGAAGGCTGGAAAATGGTTTTAAAATGTTCAGATAGTTTAAAAGCTATTTGTGAAAGTAGGAAATCCTCAGCCCAATGCTAGATAAAAGTTGGCACTCTCCTTAACCACATGTGCCATTCCCTCCTCCTCATGCCTAGTGCCATTTCTCTGGGCAAAGGGATCCACAACCCAAGGGAAAAGCAATTTACCAGAGAAATATTCACCTTCTGGACCTTCAAAGCCCACTCCTTACTCTCTAACTCTATTTCTCATTCTTTTATCTTTACATTTTATTTTATTTTGCTATTTGTTGTATTAATTGGTAATGTTTTATGTTTCTTACCTTTAATTTGAAAAGCAGGTGAGTTGAACATTTTATACTTTTAAGACAAAAAAAACTAAATTAAGTTGCTTTTCACTTGCATGTAGCCTTCAATTGATTTTTTTCTCTGTGGGTCAGTGGCCCTCAATAGAAAAGGTTCCCCACCCCTACATAGAGGGTTGTGAAACAATATTCTACATCTCACTGAAGATAATGTGAGAAGATGAGTTTGAGTTGAAGCAAAAGATATTTAGGATAAATATAGGAAAAGCTGACAATGACTGACACACCAAAATGTCACACCCCTGAGGGTGTTTAATGATCTTCCCATTTTTTACAGTAGTATTTGGCACTAAAAAGAAAAACATGACCTCCAGTCTAGTACAAATGCCAAATGCTGGCATGCAAGCTGTGACTTTAAAGAGGTACCATGGCATCTTGAATCCCCAGGGCAAGATTGGGGTAGGACCTATATCTATCCTACAGAATGGATCCAAGGCCAGACTGATACCTGGTCCCAAGGATTACCACGCATTTGACGGAGGGCTCTGTTTAGAAATTTCTCAAAATCTCTCAGACCTGAGGATTGTCACCTTCAGACCTCTAGGATTAGTACAAAAAGCTCCTTGGATAGTTGTAAGCAATAAGCAGGAAATCTAGATTGAAAGTGTTCAAAAAAAAAAAAATACTGCCTGTGGGCACTCCTGAATGCTGTGAAACCAGAATAAAATTTAACTGGGAAAAATATTTAACAAAATAAAATAAAAATGTAACAGAACACAAATAATGTTAATATATGGTTTACACGGTTTGGCAGCCCCATTTCTACTTGAGTTTGACAACACTGCTCCACATGCATAAAGGTTTAAGGAGATGGCTTAACAGTATTTGCCCCTTTTTACTACAAAATTCTCTAAATATGATTAACCAAGTAGGAGATCTCACCACTCAGTGAGGTGGCACATGGAAGCCACTTTTTTTTGTCACTGATCTTTACCAAAATGGTTCTAATACAACCCTGCTTTAAAGTATAAAAATGAACTAGATATTTCAAGGATTTTTTAGGACCCAAATTCTATAGCCAATCTCCTAACAAACGATATTCCAAAACAAGACATAGCAAGATTTCCATTAACCAGAAGGCTAGAGTAAAAGACACTGTAACTGACTTTATCAACTGCAACCCTCAAATCCTCTTGCTTTCAACCCATGTTGAAAAGCTGTATCTACTAAAACCATACAAGGGCAGTTTCTAACTTTTAATACATAATCATAGAATCTTAAGAACTGGAAGTGACCTGTGTGGTAGAAAGAGTGCAAGACCTCTGACATGATGGATGTCATTTCCATGTCACTACAATCATGGATCTGTCACTTAACCTTAACCTCAGTTTCCTCATCTGTAAAATCAGGATGATAATACCTACGATACTCATGTCACAGAGTTGTTGTGGGGAACAACTGTCATCAAATCCAAACCATAACTAAGGTTCTACAGTTTATCCTTAAAGATTTCCTGTGAAGGCAAAACCATTGCCTCCTAAAATAGCTTATTCCATTGTTGAACAATTCTAATAATTGGGAAGTTTTTCCTTTCATCAAACCTAAA